GTGCCATCTATTTTGACAGACCGTGTAGCTAGTGCAGAGGGCGAGAGTCCAATGTTGCCCACTTGCAGGTGTAGGGCGCCGTTAACTATGAAGTCCGCCTTTAAAAATGATTGCAAGGAGAAGATAAATCAGAGGGAAGTAGTACTTTGACAGAACTCTAAGCTAAATCTTACGCCATGATTCATGGGCTATATCACAATTACAAAGATTTGAGATAAATTGAATAAACCGAGAATACGCTTACAGTAGAATTCGGGTCACTAGTTGACGGAGTATATCTCTTATTCAAGGCAAGGGATGAAATATATAAGCAGGTCATATTTTCTGCCACAGAGTAACTCTATTTGGCAGAGCCACCATTTAGTTAGTGGTCGTTTTAAGACAGAAGCTTCTAGGACTCCGAAAATTGTGAAATGAATCACTCGCAGAAAATGGACACAAATTTAGTAAACGAGTTGTAAAATAAGCTTGTGTCAGAATCATGACAACTGTACGTCTTAAAGAATTTCAACGACCCAGAAAAAGACTTACAATGTGACCTTTGATGCTGTGTCTATAGAACAGTAAGAGACCACAGCTCTTGCAGTACCTCCGAAATTGTCGTTCGATCCCATCCTTCCACCTTACATAGACGCAACTCGATGGACTTGCATCGGTGGCATTAATTTTATGAGCTCTCTTGGATACGTCGAGGACGCGGGAAAGATCACGAGGGCGTTCGGGCAGTTTCTCTAGCGGACAGTCAAGTATCAGAGACATCTGCCCACAAATGCAACAATATATGAAAAGTGGCTTCTCGCTTCCATAATTGTGACGATCTTTATTGTCAGTTACGATGTGAGTGACTCGTTTCCGGACCCTTGGCCTCGGTTCCTTATTCATTACGAGGAAACACGATCAGGACCAAATGATATGTCGAAAGCCTTAAAACCAAATTCAATGGCCAATCAGACATGCAGAGCACTTTAAATCACTTTGATGGGGAAATAAGGATTTCGCTCTTGAGCTCCCTATTCATATCCAATAATGTCAAAATTTTTTAACTTTAACAACAGAAAATAAAACAGCTAAAAGATAGCATCGTCGATATTTGTCAGCAAGTCGTGAACGGCCGCTACTGACGCAGCTTTCTTTATATATACAACAGGTTCTC